AGGGAGCGTCAGACACGGATCGCGAACCCTTGACTCGCAAGAGGAAAAAGGTCAATTCGCGAGCGTCTCAGGATGCTAGGCTCGCGCGCCTGGGTCTGAGGGATTGGAGCGACGTCCTCGGTATGGCGGCCTTGACGGGTTGGGATGAAGATGTCGTGTTCAGAGCTGGGGAGAGGTGTGCGGCGCTGTTTGGGGAGGGGATGGCGTTTAGGCGGTTTTATCCTCCCGGAGGGGTTGGTGGTGGTGGTCGGCAGAAGGAGAAGGGTGGGATGGTGGAGGAGGTGTTGGTTGGTGCTGGGGGGAGGGAAGTTATGGATGAGGACGAAGACGAGGACGAGGACGAGGACGAGGACGAGGACGAGGACGGGGCAGAGGTAGAGGAAGAGGAAGAGGAGGGTGATGTTGATGTCATGGACACAGAACACGACGCAGAACGGGACCATGTATCTACCGCCGCAGCGGAAGAGACTGCAGATTCTTCGTCCACCTCATCCGCAGCTGGTGCACGCACCACCACGCCTCATGTCAGCAATCCCACCAACCACCCCACCAACCCTCCCTCCTTCCCCTGCCCTCACCCCCCCTGCCGCCACCACACCAAGCACCCCTTCCTCACCCCGGAAAACCTCTCCCGCCACCTCAACCAGCAGCACCAATTCTCGCCCTGGGAAGCCGAACCAGCACCCTCAGATGTGGACGGCATTTTCTGTCCCGTGACCACCTGTGTACGACACCGGCACCCGTTCTCCAGAGGGAATCTGCTGTATCAGCATGTGAGGCGGGTGCATCCGGAGGTGGATCTGGGTAGGGTCAAGGAGGGGCAGAAGGAGAGGCGGAGGAGCGTGAGTCGGGGTAGGATGAAACGCACGGGGAGGAGGGATGGGGAGAAGGGTGTAGAGAGGGAGAAGAGGAGGAGGACTGCGGATGGTGATGGTGCTGAGAGGAATGCGGAGATTGAAGAAGAGAGCTCCGAGTAGAGAAAACTGACTGAAGTCTATGAAAGCTGTGGTATGTGTGTCTGATCACCTTTGGTGTCTCGACTGTTGGTCTAATTGCTTCAAAACCTTTTGTGTGCTGGTTGGAGGAGATTACCCTGTCATACAAAAGCAGCACCTGAAAAAGAAAACCAAAGGCCCAGTCGCAATTTGTCAAAAACCGCCCCCAAGAAAAATCCTCGGAGTCAAAGGATTCAGTCCCAGGCCATCGCCTCAGCAACTTGGCAATGCTCGCTGTCGCCAATGTGCCGATCTGACCCAAAGGAGGTTGAAAGACGCGTCCCTCTCAAGGCAAGCCACTGAAGACTTCAAACGTCTTGGATGTATCCACGTTGGTGCGCCCAAGCCACTGGTCGAGCCGCCGCATTTTGCAGCAATTCTAAAGACTTCTTGGCCGTGCTGAGCATTCGTACGACTTTCTGTCCAAATTCAGGGTGCTTCTCAAATACCGCAGTATCAGGAGCGGTCATGACCGATATATCAGCGTCAATCGCATCGGAGATTTCAGCGCGTATGGTAGCAATACTGTTCAAATGCTTGAGAGCGAGCTCGCCAAGATTCGTGTTTATCTTCCTGAAGAGCTCATCGAAAAGTCCAGAGGTAACGTGCTCGAGGATCCGTTCGCGGTTTCGGGCTATTACACCAGCACCTAGAGACATCATTTGATCAACAGCTTGCCAGAGTGAGGATTGCATAAAATGGCTGTCATGCCATGATTCAGGGCACATTCACGGTACACATCCCGCATCCAGGTTGCCACGTACGATGCTTCATCCCCGGCAGTTGCATTCCTCTTGGTGGCCCTATGTTTGCGTCAATGAAATTTGCAAAGCCAAGGCAGTACTGGCTGGGGTTAGCTTTACCCCAAATCCATTCTAAACTCCCCAAACTCGATATCGAGTTTGAAATGAAGACGAGTTTGTCGCCCTCGCATGTTTCGGATGAATTCTTGTGGTGCCATGGTATCTAAGTCAAGCTTGTCAATACTATTCTGCGATAGCTAAATTCTGACAGAAACATACCGATGGCACTTGCTATGATCTTATCCATAGACTCCTTGACACGCTTCAAGTACCACTGGATACCAGTAGCTATCTGCTCATCCAAGCTCTTCCAATCGTCTGCAAGGACGATATTCGCGTCTTCGTTCAATTCGCGATTCCAGTTTCTTTTGCCAACGGTCTTCGTCTGGTGTGTGCCGTTTTTTCTGATAAATGCGCGGTATGAGGCTATTCTTTGTAAGCTTTTGAGATGCCCAAAGGTATAGAAACTCGCACAATGATGCATCTAGTCGATATCAGCGCTTGCGGTCAGGGATTAGAAACCGGACGGTCGAGGTACTCACCTTTCCCTGGCATTCACAAGTTGTGACTGCGCGTTCGATGATCTCCTGCAAATTCTCATCTGGAAAAATGAGTATTCGCAGAAGACAATTGCTGGAGAGTATCAGCACACCACAGTTGCTTAGCATACCGCCAAAAGCGTTTTCTATGACTTCACGCCAAGCCGTTTCGATTTTATCGAAATCCTGGAGAACGTAACGAGGTCAGCCGTGGTGGCAGATACGGTCTTCAGAAGAACGTACATTGAACAAAGACTCTGCAGACGCAAGGTTCTGTTTCACAGGACTTCGAGCCGCTTGGACCCAGATCTTGATAGACGAGATCAACGACGGAAGCTCTGTCCAGATATAGTGATGGGCCGACTTGAATTGTGCCTTTGCCGGTCTTTCATAGCAGAACATTCTGAGCTTCGGAATGCCACTCAGAATCGCTTCCTGTTCATTGCGACAAGTATGATAGTCGCGATTGTCAACACAAAAGAGAGCAGGAATATATTCCTTGAAGTCTGCGGCATACCTATCCTTAAATTGGGTCTCAACTCTCTCATTTCGAGATGAGAATAAAAGGGTATTGTACCTGATCTGGGGGTCAGAGATGTGTTAACAAGATTTGAGAGCAGATTAACTTGATCTTGACTTCAGCACAAGCTTTCATCCACTCAGAAACACTCAGCTTGTCCCGATTGTTCGAAAGTTGGTTTTGCTGATCTTTCACCTTGTCGAGCAGGTCTTTGCTTACATGCTTTTCGAGATCTTTCATGTCGCCGTGGTCCTAGAAAGAGGTCAGAAATCAATAACTGCAACGTAAAATGCCATTAAGCTTCAAGATGAACATACGCCGGAATGTGTACAGACTACGGTGATGCGAGGACGTGTGAGTTGTCCAACATCTGTAAGACGCCTGCAATGGTCTGTAATCACATCTTGAATGACAGGGTCATCAATGGCTCTTTTAATATCCGATACAACGAATATTTCTTCACAAGTAGCTTGGTATTTTTTGGCAGCTTTCACTCGTGCAAAATTGACGTCGTGGTACCCTGCAGATTCTGCTTAACGGAGATCCAAATATGCAGCGGCCAACTTACCTGGTAAATCAGCAAAGATAATTCCAGCCTTGAGAAGATCGGATTCGAGGTAAATGCTAGTAGATCTAGGCTCAGCACCACGCATACTGCATTTGTCATGGAAGCGTCCCGCGCAATTTTGACAAAAACCCACAGCCCGCTATCGATCCAAGGTTGGGGAAGCTCACTGACCCTCACCGCTGTGGCGCTCTTGTCTTCCCAGAGACCATCTGCCATATCTTCTGGCCACTTCAAAGTCCGACTCAAGTGCTGGAGCTGAGGGAGAATTCTATCGTAGGCGCCCTCAGATTGATCCTTCATTGATTCGAGATCAAGATCACTGTAATGGTCACCTGTGTCGTGGAAGAACATCTCTGTGTTTCCAAAGACTGTCTCGAAAACCTGTTTTGCAGCATGAGATTTGTCTTCAGCCATCTTGTACTCGACCTCCGAAAGCTCCTTTGCGCTAGCCATATAAGGCTGTCTGTATTCGTCCAAGAGTTCTTGGATGTGGTCATCCAATTCACTATCGGTGAAACATTCTGCCTTGATGACGAATTTAGCTTCTTGATGTTCCTCGCGATATCGATATTCGGTCGGAAATGCTGTGACAGCTTTGCCAGATACATCCTACCCGATTTAGACAGATATCTAGTTGAAGATTCGATGCTCCTACTGTTAGAGCCAGACCTTCTGTGTGCAGCAGCGCGTTGATAAGACTACTCTTTCCTGTCCGCTGGATAAGCTTCGTGCTTCTGAAAATGGCAGAATAGTATGGGGCAACGACGTAAAGCATGGTGGCATGGAAGAAGGCTGGACTCAGCAGAGTTTTCCGAAGAGCCAAGTACCATTGCCTCGGATAGTCATCGGCCAAGCTTCTTTATGCCAAACTCGAGGTGAAAGGAAGCTTACCTTGTCCAGAATTGCCAACGAGGCCGATAGTTCTTTTGATTGGACATTGGTAATGCGAGAGTCGGTTTGATTCTTCGAAGAGTTTGTGCAAACTAGATCCAACTGGAGGATCTACCTCACGAGTTTGTAAGCAGTTTTGAACATTTGTAGCGAGCGCTTGAGCATTCGTCAGAGCCGACTGAAATTCGACGTCATAGAATGGCTCATCAGGACGAGCCTCTCCATCCGGTGAATACTCAAACGGATCCATGCAGCCAGAAATGCTGCGAAGCAGACTCTAAAATTGACAACGCGACGGCAAGAGGAGAGCATTCAGATATTGAAGGTGGACCAGAGACGGATGAGCGTATGATTGAGTGCAGTACCCATTAGAATGAGAAGTTCGAAGCTATGTCAAGGGTGGGTAATGTTGTAGTGGAAGAGATATGATAGTGTACTAATAGAACGAGAGAGGCTTCTTATGTAGTAAGAGAGCTGTAGCTGGCGGAAGACCATGCGCTAGACCCTTTCGAAGGCAGCACCCGGACAACCCTCTACCGACAGTAAGTATTCCTGTATCTGCTAATAGTCGGAGACGTTGGGGCTCGCTCTCACCAAGATAGCCGTCGCTGTCTCGATCCAGGGATGAATGATAGGACACGAGGACAACTGTGACATGGTACGGGAAAAATATGGAAGCAAGCCGTATGCCATGCCCATCTGGTTACTTAACCGGGTCAAGCGCTTCGAAGTAGAATTTCATGCCTCTTGCCCAGATGCGTGAATTTTAGCATCTGTTCTGCCAAAAGGATTTTCTTCACTAGAGCCATTCAGGCGGGCACTCTTGACTGAGGTGCAGATTGTCGGTCACACAGCGAAACCGTTGCTATGGCTCATCACAAGATCTTTAGCTGTGCGCGGCCTCTTACAGCGTCAACATAGATTCTCTCTAGGGTCCGAGGCAATCGAGGTTGGCCAGACGCCCACCTTGCTGGTCAGCATGCAGGCATACTCTTATCTCAAAGGCGGCGGAAGCCTTAGATGAATGGTCGAAAATTTTCGTGCATGTTATAAAGGAGGGTCGTGGAGCTCTCGAACACAACTTGGGGCATGGGGACAATGGAACCTATTGAGTCTAAGAAGCACGAGTAATGCCCAAGTGCCTTGAGTGGTGAGACCAGAAGACATGGTTTCGAATGCGCCTACAATGATATCAGCTTTGTTAATCCCAGGAATCCTCGTCCATTGACCAGGGCGTGGATAGTCGTGCTGATGTTATACGACTCCTACTCTCCTATTGTCTGCCACATTGGAAGGATGAAGGTAGCCATGCCAGCCACCTTCGTCGAGCAGTAAAGTGGAAAGGTCGGCCTTCAACTTGGACGATCATGGCTTACTCTCACCAAACAGTATAGCTGACATCGGCAGCAGATGCAAAATCTGGTCAATTCGGGGCGAACAAGAACGAGCCGAATAGGGCAAGTTCAGGCCTGCAACTGTTCATGCCCAGCAGCAGAAATCTGAACCTATCCTGTACAGGAGAGAGAAATCACGCAGCGTCTCTAGGGTGTTCATGGTCGTTTCTAGGTCTACCTATGGTCAAGATACATCCCTCCCGGACATATGTGGTCGATCTCGGACGGAAAAATAAGAGCTCCGAATTCAGATCTTGGCTCGCAGAATCATGAGAAACGCTACGCAGAATGGGGTCTAGCTGATCATCGGCACCTTCCGGACAGGTAACATTGAATTCTCGCAACACTGGCAGTGGAGCAATCCCGAAAGTCCATAATGCTACCTTCAGCTTCGTATAACTGGAAGCTGGATTCCTGCTGCTACTCCATAAAGGACCAACCATTCCAATTCTTCGCAAAATTTCAGATCTCGAAGCGCCTGCAGGATTCTTAAGATCTCAGCGATGTCAACTACATCTTACTGCTAGAGAGATTGATCAATGCCGGTACTGTGTAAGGGATGCTTATCAGCGTGGTCCGCACGAGTGGACGTACTGCTAGCCAAAGCATGTCGAACGCAAATGACTCGTCAAACGCTTCTAACAGACTTCAAGCAGACCGAAGCTTATTGAGTTTTATGCAAACGTCCCCAGCCATAACGTCACAATGACTGCACCAATGTGGTCGGGGTCATCTCATTCGCTCGGTGAAGAAATGTACTTCTTTTCAGCAGTTCTCCAGAAGTTGATCTTTGATTTATGAGTATGCAATGTTTGCGGTCAGCGCAGTGACGATCCGCTTTTAACGGACTCAATTCGACAGTTCATCGGTCAGGAGAATAATAGTCATAGTCATGATACATGATATATTCGTATGCGCTACCCATGGGTCATAAATATTCATGCTGGGATGGGAGCTAAACCCTTCAGCGGAAACAGTCAACACCCCCCAGCCACCTCCTGAAGGCCCTCCATGAACCTCACTTTGGAGGATCAACCCAAGTCCCAAAACTCTCAGAAGAATAGCAACCATCCTCCTTCCCAACACAATACGGAACCGAGTACGCCTTGATCTTTAGACACTGGTTCTTCCCAAGACATTCCTTGGCATGCTTAGCGATGTTCTTCACCGGCACTCCCGCCGCGTCGCACACGAATCCCGCTTGCTTGGCTTTTACAAGCCCGGCAAGTTTGCCACAGACTTCGGTCACTCTGCCAATGTTTGAGGCCACGTCGGCCATGAGCTGAGTGGTTTCCTTGTTGTAGAGGAGGTGGTCGAAGCCACCGTTGCTGACGGGGATGACTTTGATGTCCTCACATTTTGGTATCGTTACAGATGTTTCCTTGGGGGGTTGGTCTTGTGATGCGCCTGAAGGATCTGGAGGGCAATTAGCAAGTATCTTCATCGATAGCCTAATTGGTGGCAACACGAGGAACAGAAGACATTGTTCTTGCAATCCAGGTTTAAGACAAGGGTGAAGAAAAGCATACCTCTAATGCAACATTGAACATTGTTATCACCTGGGCAAAGATTCCTCTCATAGTGCCCACCGGCGCATTTGTTGTATCTCTTGTCATAACAACGACCGCCAAGGCTCTCAAGCGGTGCTTTCTGGACTTTGACACACTCCTTCTTGACGCAACATTTGATGTTGGCGTCATCATTGGGGCATGCGTCATTGAAGGTGAAGCCTTGATCAAGGGATCAGACGCGGCATAATCACGATAGAGGTAAGGGTCGACGCCGTCTTACCGCCATCACAGTCCTTCACGTCCTGACAGGCTCCTTTCTTCTCGGCCCATCCACACGTATCGCCTACGCTGGCGAGCGATCCGCTGATGAGGGATAGAAGGAAGAAGGAAAGCACGGAAGTCTTCATGTTGCCTAGAGTGAGATGTGAAGCGCTCTGGACCAACCAGCTCGGTATTTGGAGATGGTTTGATGCAGGATGGGAAGAGGTGGCATCAATTGAGGTTATAAATTACTTTCCTTGGGTCGATATCTTCGCTTCGGTCGGTATCCTCGCTTCGATGAGAGGTTGATATAGTGGCTATGCAACCCCAAACAAATTTCTCTTCTTCGCATTGCAGATCACCATGGCCGTCATCTCGTTTGGAAGGGCAAGGTATTGGCTGTATAACGTAGCTCCATGGACAAGGACCGGGTACATTCTACCATGCTTGAAGCATTCCCGTCAAGCTTTACTTGGCTCTCATGTGACTTGATCGCAAAAAGGCATAAGAGTCTGTGATTGGCAAATTCAATGCAGAGAAAGCACGCAACAGTCACACCAGTCTGGTGGCTATGATATTTTTGGGTTGTTATTGCAGGCTGTTTTGAAACACACTACATATTATGGTTCGGTCCGCAGATCTATATCCACGTATTCGGAAATTGAATTACTGAATACGAGAACATAAGCGAGGAGCTAGCAGGAGATGGGATTAGCTGGAGAATGGTACAGAAGCACCCCAGTATTAGCGCCAGGGCGGAAAAGGTTCCAAGCTTTCCTCGGCCTCCGGCCCCTGACTTGGCAGTCTCTGATCCCCGGGTCTCGATTCACCAAGCTTGGCAGGGCTGATCACCAAAGAAAGCTGTATCAACTTCATTCAAATTCATTCCAAAACCACTGTAAGAGAAAAGAAACGGAAATATGAGTTGCATTCTTGATAAACCGTAAACCACCTGGACTGGAGGGATTATCGACCTTCTTTTGAGATTGTTCGTCAACCATAAGACGAACCAGCATTCTGGCCCTTTTCCTCTGTAGCGAAACATCAACACGATATAAATGTTAGGATGGTGTAGCATCCTAGGCACCTGCTCCATCTGAATATCGTGCACGCGCCAACCAACCAGCGTCGGGCACGGGCTTTCCATCAAGCTCTGGTTTAGGCCATGTAGGCATGGCCTCACCCCGCCCCGGATTGGCAGGCTTGTTTTGAGATGATGCTTTCCTGGTTCGGCGCTTCCTCCACCAGTATAGAAGAAACACTGCCAGGAGGATCAGGACAGCACTCACGCCGACGGGCACCCCGACAAAAACCCCAAGAGACGGCGATTTGGAGACTGCTTGTTGGTCCGGGGACGCTTGCAGGGACTGGGTTGGCATAGCAAAAGCGGATGTCATGGTAGAAGTTGAGCTAAACCCCATGCTAGAACTAATTTTGACAACAGATGTTGGAGAAAGCACCTATCATTTGTCAGCAGGTGTCGTTCGGTAGGATACTTGGCGGTAGTCCTACTCCTTCGCTTGTAGAGAAAGCTCTATCATTAATCGCACTCTTGCTCGAAAACATCCAGTGCTGCCCTTCACGCTTAGGCAACTCTTCCGTCGTGCCTGACATGAAAAGGGGCTCTCCAATCCCAGAATGTACATCTAGATTGTATGACGTTCCGTTTGCTAGATTCTGTAGCTTCCACGACTCACCATCCGTCCATGGTTGAATAGTCCACTGCTGTGACTTAGAGAGCAGATCTGTGGGGGCCAGTCTGGGCTGCGTGCGGCTCTCGTCTGACTCCATCGGATTGAGATTGACATCCAATTGGTGTCGCGCCGTTCCCAGCTTGCTGCGAAATGCGAACGTTGTGTTAGAGATGGGAAGGATCTGCCATGAATCCCCAGGATCAGACGCATTGAAGGCGTGGATGAAGACTGCTGCTGCGCCGCTGTCAGAAGCACTGGCGCTGCCTAGGGAGCCAGAGAAACCAACACCAGATTCTGTGATGTGGTACCAAGTGTTGGAGTCGGCATTGAAGGTTGCCATATCATATGATGGGTGGTAATCAGCGCAATGTGTGGCGGTCTCTGTTCGAAAACAGATTGCGATAAGTTTACCCTTCAGCCGACAGGTGAGAGAAGCTGAAAGTGCCAACGTTCTTCATCGCGCCAATCTTGAATTTGGGGCTTTGTTTGATGCAGCCTCATCGTGAAACCTTTATGGTAATCAATTGACAACAGATGGGTTTATGCCAAAGCGAACGAGCCGTGGTCAGAACAAATGTCTTATTCACTATCTTGGACGTAATCTTCCTGAGAAACCTTCCATCGTATGCCCATAGCTTTCCCTTTTTTCAAGATCGTGTGAATATCACGACTCGATTGACGTCCTCAGACGTAAGGCCGAGATTCACACAAGCATAGCACGAAGGCCGCTCTCCACAACGAAGGAGGCAAGGTGAGAGACATTACAACAGGCTGTTAAAGCGGCAGGTAGGACAGATATATTCTCAGCCCCTAATCTGGGTGATACCTGGCCTTGGTATCCGGACTCGGTGCACGATGTGGTTTCAGGAGATGCGTGGGAGATCGAATGAGTCTTGTCTCCATCATGTTTGAAACCTGGTGGCTTTTATGATCAGTTTGGTGCCAGAATGAAGCTTACCTGTGATGTTGGCTGCCAGCCGACAATTTACTTGGGAGATAAATGTTCTGCTGGGTGCAGTCAGATGAGACACGCATCAAACGCCACGGACCCAGGCCAAAACCCGTCAGCCGCTTATGTGTGAGAGGTGAGAGGTGAAATTCGAGATCGGATTCCGTTTCTATTGAAGATCCTTTGGTAATGTGGTTGTTATCACTTCAGATTTAGTCTCGAAAATTTTTGGTCCAACTAGCTAGGCGGAACGGCCCCGTCCACTGTTCAGGTAACTCAACGACGGATACAACCTCCTTCATCCCTAAAATTTAACTCAAGTACTAGTAGCTTGTAGGGCTGATAACTCCAATGGTAGAAGGTTATGTTGACTCTGTCCCTTGATCGAGCTCCTACATCACAAAGCTGTCTTACCTACTCTGTGTGTAAACGTATTGGATATGACGGTAGTTTCCACAACTTAGGCTCGGTTGCGCCTACACTCTTCACACACAGTTGCTGGTGAGATCAAGGCAACAACAATAGCATTGCGGTAGGTTCACCTATGTACGTACGGAGAAGACACAGGACCTTCGGACTGGTTGCACCATCACAATAAAGACAACAGGATCATAGGCCCTGTGGAGAACAACAAAGCTCTTATGACACCCTCGCACACATTGGAACACAAGAGCTATCAGGGAATATCGACAACATCATCTCTACTTTGCCACTTCAGCACTATCCATAACAAGACCAGTCAGGCATTCATGGTGGCATTGCAAGCATCTCAACCCAGTAGTCGGAGTACATAGTCTGTGTTGACAAATTCAACCCGACTTGACCTTCTCTGTCCTGTCCACTGGCGTAAGCTTCACCATGAGCGGTCCTTTCTGCCAAACGATATGCATCCTCTGATTGGTCCAGTGTTTGCTCTCCTCCTCTAATGAGAGGTCGAAATTCCAGAGGACCTTGGCTAGGATAAGCCGCATCTCAAGGTGAGCCAGCCTGTTTCAACAGTCAATAATGTCTCTTTCAAGGTCGTTGTTTCGTGTCACAGCTGGAAAACACACCTTTGCCCTATACAGTTTCGAGGTCCAGCGCTAAAAGGCTGTACCACATCTTTGTTGTCCTCACGGAACTCAGCGGGTGGGTTAGGAAGCCAGGTTCAGGCACCAATGCTTCGCTCTCGTGAAAGTTAGACGGAGAGTGGAAGGCAGCAAATTGGAAGATGCCGATTATTGTCTGCGCTTTGGTTAGCCAACAATGCTACACAAAGCATCACCAACATAAGTTTCCACTCACTCCCGGCGCCACCCATTGGCCAGAAATTCTACCGCCGTTCACGGTGATTCTTGGTACAGCACTCGGCACTGGCGGATATAGCCGCAGAGACTCATTTAGGACCGCCAGTAGGTAATCCAGCTTGGCTAACGAGTGCATATCCATGTCTTGGTCAGTTTCAAATGCATCCCGGACCTCCGAAGTTACCTTTTCGAGTGTCTGGCGATTCGTGCATAGATAATATGTAGCTGCTGCAAGAAGTGAAGCTGCTGTCTCGCTTCCCGCAAGTACCAGGATTTCTGCATTAACCTCTAGCTCATCCTTGCTCATCTGCTGCCCTTTTTTGTCGTTTCGCATAATGAATGACATGAAGTCAGGTCTCTCAGTGCCGCGCTGCAGGCGAGACTCAACCTTTTCCCTCGTATACGCTTGCATTCGCTCGAACTTATCTAGCATAAATTTTGGGGTTAGGTACTGCAAGACAAATCCAAGTCCATAGTATGAAATAGCAGTGATAGCGGCTCCTACTTCAATACCTTCAGTAATGGTTTCAACAAAAGGATGCCAGCATTGATCGCGCAAACCATGGAAAGATTCACCGAACGTGAGGTCGCCAATAATGTCGAAAGTTGTCCAGTTATACCATGCGGTCATGTTCTGAGCATTGTTTGCATTCTCCTTCAGTCGCTCGATCAGAATATCCACGTACGCCGTAATCAGTGACTGTTGGTCCTCAAGCGCCTTCGCAGAGAATGCGTAAGCCATGAGCCGTCGATAACGGCTATGATTGGCATCATTCGCCCTAAGAATGTGGTCCGGCATGCCTTTGTGCGGTGCTATAAGCATTCTTTGGTCTTTTGGATTTTGTGCCTGCCCTGCGTGAGAGCCATAGATGTCTTTCCATGCCTCAGCCGTGATGTAGGAAAGTTGTGTCGGTGCAACGCGAACAATGGGTCCATATTGATCGTGCATCACTTTCACTCGTCGGGGCAGACGTCCTCTGAGTTGGTTGTAGACATAAGGAAATCTAAAGGCAGCCCACAACTTTGGACCTGGGTATGATCGTAGGGGATGGAGGAATATGTTGTAGATGGCTAATCCAAATGTATAGAGCGTTATCTATCTTCGTCAGTTTATAGATCACCTGAACCGATGGTGGACAGCTACCAGAATGATGCATGCGAGGGCAAAAAACACAATGCCTTGAAAACTGGGAAGATGAAATTGTTTGGGAATTGCCAATGTCATGGCGTCTCACAGCTGGCGGGACCGGCTTGTAGTTAACACGATTCTTCTGACAGAGAAGATGAAGGAAAGAGCCCAGTAAGAGCTTTCAGAACTTGCCTACTCTTTATAGCCTTTTACACCTCATCAGGGACTTGCCAGGATGACTATTGAGCCATATCATAGCCGTTTTGGTCCGCCTGCCAGCCATTTGATTCCTGTGCAAGCAATGTTGCGTCCGAAAGCATCTGACCAACTGCAGAACGCCGCAGCTCGCAAACCCATGCTGCAACGTAGCTGACCATACACTTACAGAAAGCTGGGGGGTATATCCCCACCACAAGCTGCAGGAAGCTCCAATAAGCCATTGTAGAGATACAAAGGAACCGATGTCCACCCCCCGGCTCCCCGAGATTAGCCGAAGGAGGTGGTCATGTATTGAGACATGGGCAATATCGTTGCTATCGTTACCATAGCGACATCTTTCTCGCGTTTCCGTCCAGGGTTGCAAGAGTTTGGCAGCGAGAGAGCTCATATTGCTGCATCAGATGAATGAATTGGAGGAGAAATTGACTTGTTGACTCACTTTGGTAAAGTTTAGGGGCCCAGCAGGGTGACACGAATTGTAGGTTCCCCCCGTGCTGCTGCGTAGACTAGCGTGACATACGCAGTAATCAAGTTGGGAATTCCCTCAAACAGCAAGCCCTTTTCGCTCGAACAGCCGGGAAACGGGAGACTTTGGATCATGATCACAGTGCTTCCGACCAGTTGGAGAGCCTGTAGACACCAACATGGTGCCTATTTGTGTAGCCGTAGCTCACTTACTACTAGTCTTAATGCAGCATTTTAGAGCGATATCAGCTTAATGCATTGAGAGGGGTGTATGTAGGTGATGGGAATCTAAATGCAAACTTCGGGTGGAATAACTCGGCAGGCGCTAAGGCCCCACAGCATCTCCATACCAATATACTCCGTACCTACTAGGAGAAGGGCCGATAGCAGGTGCTAGAAATAATGATATATAAAAGCTAAGCTACGTCATAACTTAGTCAGTGGCCAAGCCCCCTAAGGGCCAAGTTCCTAAGGTAACATATGGAGGTGTACTTTACCCGCAGCCGGACCCTTATTAGTGTGCATTAGTGTAAATTAGCTCTGTATTAGCTTGGTATTCCAATTATACAATAAGTCTTCCTGATTGATCATGATTAATCACAACAGTTTATATGCAAATGTAGTACAAATTACTGTGAGCAATCAAGAGCAATTATAAGTAATCAAGAGCAATTATTTTCAACAGAATGTGTATTGTTGAAGTTCTCACTCTGTGGTGTTGTGCATGCTCCTATCTAGATTTTCTAGTAGCTACCTAATAGGGATTTCCTGTGCCTTGGCACAGGAAATCAGGACACGTGATATGTCAAAGTGGCGCTAAGCCGCTTTGGGATCTGGCTGTACATGTACAGCCAAATCCTCTTGGCAGTTGTGGCAGCTCGCGCTGCCCTGCAAGGAGGTTGTTAGCCATACGGCCGTACCAGCGTTAAGCTGTGTTGCTCGACATGTATTAAATAATTGAGATTTCTACTTTAATAAGATTGATCTCAATTATTTGTATGCCAATGTAGTACAAATTATTATGAGCAATTATGAGCAATCATTGTCACGGCTGCCATCCTTGTCGGCCGCTAGCGCTAGGGCCGCCGGG